GAGTACTATAAGAATGGGATATACAAGAATGTTAATTCATTTCTTGAAAGACTTGAAAAAGAAGATGACATTCTTACTGACAATGACGGACTTGAAAAAGAGACTCAAGATTTAGAAGATATAGAAGAACCTGATGATATACAAGAAAATGAAACAGCAATAGATTTACAAAGTGCATTAGATAATGTAGATAGATGGCAATAATTAAAAATGTATAATTTATAGTTTTCTTATCTAAAGATCGAAATGTATCTTGATCATAAAAATGAGCTAGTAAAAAAAAAAAGAAATTAAAATTATTAATAAAATTCTCATACTTTTTCTAATCTTGATGTATAAGTGAACTACCTTTTTCTATTTGATCCATAGCGATTTGAAAGTTTTAAACGGTGCTTTAGAACTTGAATAATGCTAGTAAAAAAAAAAAAAATCTTTTAATTATGCAAGCAATTGGAAGATTTACTTAATAATGAATTTAAATTATTAATAAAATTTTCATGTTTTTTCGAATTTTTACGTATAAGTGAACTACCTTTTTCTATTTGATCCATAGCGATCCGAAAGTTTTAAACGGTGCTTTAGAGCTTGAATAATGCATTAGTAAAAAAAAAAATCTCTGGTTATACGAACAACAGGGGGTATTATCCTTTACGGAAAAAAGACTTTTCGTGCAACAAATATTATAACTCGTGAAATTGCAACCAATCATGGTCAATTTGATGATCTGGATCGACAACCAATCAAAACGAATTTCTGTCATGCTTGATCAATCAAAGAATGTAGTCGGACATTATTCTTTACACAGCTCTTGGGATCCTTAACCAAAAAATTACATAATAATGTCTTCGCATAAAGCAAAATCAAAAGTACTTGATGACAGTGAAGATGACGATCCTTCTAATGAGTCTTTCGTTGCTTATGGAACTGAACTTCCTGACGTGACCACTTCTGGTGAAAAGGATAAAGGGAAATTTCAACCGGTCTGGAAACAAGAAGTATGTATACCTTTTCAATCAAATCAAAATCTTATTCTGTTTATTCGTTTGTACTAAAATATTGTCTTGTAGGTTCGCGATGAACAAGGCCTACGACGTTTTCATGGTGCCTTTAAAGGCGGTTGGTCTGCTGGCTATTTTAATACCGTTGGATCTAAAGAAGGTAGATTTCTCACATACTTGATTATT